GTCCTACTATTATTCCAACTATCACGCTTGTTATTGACACTATTCCTTCTACAGCTCAGTTTAAAAATGTCTATAACCACACATTATCTCTCCTCTTCATCATGATCGTTTATTTCCAAGGGACTGACTTGTGTTGTGTTTTGTGTGGGTTGAGTCAGGGGTTTCACAGTGCAGTGTTGTTTTATCGTTATCTCACCACAACATCATAGCCAAAGCTGCTGATCAGCCACTTTTCTGTTACCTCACTGTCGGAGTTTGGTTTGAGGTTCTGTCCTTGTCCTGTTTTAATTTGAATTTGTGTGTCTCTAGTGTCCTTCTCTCAGTTCATTTCTTGTTTGTGTCTTCTCTGGGATCACCTGATGTGTTTCACCTGTGTAATCACCCTGCACCTGTTCTTGACCCGTCTCTTGTGACTTCCTGCTCTGTTCTGGATGCGTCTTTTAAATTCAGTGGACTTATTTGCTTGTATCTGTTTTGGATATCTCTGTGCTTCATGGGCGGCCTGCCTCATATTCAGTGCAAATTAACCACTGAACACGCTTCGCCCAGGTTTCCTGCAATTGGGCCCAAATCCCTGTTTCCTGTGAAACTGGACTGTAACTCACCAATCTTCCCCAGACACAGCAAAATTAACTATTTGGCTAATGAATGTTTAAAGTGCACCAGCCACTCAGTAGATTAGCTTTCTCTTGGCTGGTGAGTGAAGCAAATCTACCATCCATTTGCATAAATTACCAGCTGGTAATTTTGCAATCTACCTTGTTTACACGCGTTGTTTCTGAGCACTTTATAGACGCCTGATCTACAACTCCATGATATCTGGGTGTCTGCTGATGAAGAGCATGTGGTTTGATTAAAGGCTCCAGAACAGCTGCCAATAATTTCAAATGGTTTAACCTGCTGAAATCTCTAAAACTATGTGGATATAAGGTATTTGAATTTGAAATGTGCAACTGAACACGGAGTATCTCCTTTTACCACAGCGTCTTGTTTTTGTGTGTGTGTGGTTGGTAAGATTTCCACTCGCACACATCTTGCAAATTTGTACGACCAAATTTTCTTCCTGAAGCTTGTCTGACTTCAGTGGTTTTCTCTCTCTCTTACTTTCTCCAGGAGAGGTGTCTTGGTTTCTTTAAGACAACAGGCCGTCATCAGGTCACCGAGACACAGCGAGGTACTCAAGTACTGTTCTTGAGTTAAAATTTTGAGGTACTTGCATTTTTTTCAAATTATTTGATAACATAAGTTACTAGTTACCTTTCAGATGTAGGTTATTACAAATACAATGCGTTTATTCGAAACAACCCAGTAGAGAATCAAGCCATTCAAACCTTCACCAGCTGCAACATTAAAGTGGTGAAGCATCAATATTTAATTAAATAATACGCATCATTCTGAAATTAAATAGATTCTGCATAAAGAGTACTTTTACTTGTGGTTCTTTTAGTATTTTGATGCTTATACTTTACTTGTAACAGAGTATTTTTACACTGTAATATTGCTACTTTTACTTCTGTATACTTCTTCCACCACCCCAACAAAAATGCTCAGCTCCTGCGGTGCTGCAGGGGAGCACGATGGTCCAGAGACACAAATATCTGATAAGTATAAATAACGATGAGGTGTGTGAATGGTACGTTTAGCCGGCGCAGGGCTCGAGTGAACGGTTTTCGACGGGCATTTCGAGGCGGCTGAAAGAGGCAGAGATCTCTGGTCGGGGTGGTTGGGTACATTTCTTACAAAGGTGACAAAGATTCCATTTACATGTGGCAAAGATCTTCACACCTCCACATGTGGTTTGGCAGATTTGCTGCTGCAGTCACACTCACAACTTTACTTTAGAAAAACAACACAGGGTCAGAAAGCTTGTAAGTGAACGAGTTCTTTCTGGAGCTTTGGATCCACCGGATGGTGCAGCCATGAATGCATGCAGTCTTTGGTGTGAAGATTTCACTTTTTAAAAAGGTTAATTCGATGAGTGGAGGATGAAGACCTTGTTCCTCCTCCTCCCACCATCTGACCACACAGCTGTTTGTTTCATAACACTCTCCTCCCACAGTGCAACTGAACGGTTAAAACCCCCCGAACCGACAAAACCTTTTGGTTGCCTTCAGGAAGGAGAGTGCGCAGAGAAACCACTCCAGCTCTGTCTCTGTGAGGTTTTGAGGTCTTATTTCTTTGTAATATCACAGGTTTTTTTTTTAAGTTGCAGAGAACTACAGAGCTTTTAAAAGTGTTATTGATTTAAATGTTTTGTTAAAAGAGAATGACAGATAAAAGCAAGAGAGAAGAAATGAAGCAGTTGCAGTGCATTATGGGCTTTTATGCTTACCATGCTATATGACTCAAAATAAACAGTTCTGCGAAAATAAGCAAGTTTTAAAAGTAAATTTGCTCCAGAGAACATATTCCATGAAATTCCCCTTTAGAATTTGTTCTGCCCAAAATAGAAGCTGTTACACAACACGAAGCATCTAAAATATTTAAGGAACTGAGACACATATGAGTGAAAAGGAGAACTTTATTAGGTACACAGTCCAGTCAGTGTAAGTCTTGAAACCTCTTTTTTTAAGAAGGTAACACATGACGTGCTCAGTTACATTTGGCCTTGATGTTTGGGAACATTAATAGTTTCATGATGTTAGTGAAATCAGGCCGGAGCCGTGGTCAGAACGTTACGTTACCAGTTTAAAGGTTGGTGTTGGATGTCAAGACAAGGACAAATTTAGACACCGTTGAGCAATGAAAACACTAATACGTCAACTAAGGCCAAACGTTCCCAACTGTGGAAGCATTTTACAGTAACTGTGACTTGTTTTAGACTCAACTGAAGACTGAGGTCATCCCCAAAGTTTCGAAAGAGAAAGTGTGTAACTCAGATGTCTTCTATCCCTGTTAATGATCACACAAAGAACACATTTTGACATCATGGTTAAAAATGAAGAACTCAACCTGAACAGTCATCTGTGACACTCTGTTATTCTGGTTGGGATATTAAAGGGTTAATATGTTTACATCAAAGCTGTCTCTTGAGGTTTTGTGAAGTGTTGCAAAGCTGCAAGCTTCATGCACGTCATCAGAAACCACTGAAAAGTATACAGTATCTATATGCCATCTTTCTGTAGAGCAATAATTCTTTTTCTCAGAACCTCAGAGAGTTCTTGGTCATGAGGTTACCAGTAGCAGGAGGGAGTGTGAGAGCAAAAATTTAATTTAACACACCTGCACCCCATTCACACCTGAGATTTTCTAACACCAACGAGTCACATGACACCGGGGAGGGAAAATGGCTGATTGAGCCCAATGTGGACATTTTCACTTAGGGGTGTACTCACTTTAGTTTCCAGCGGTTTAGACATTAATGGCTGTGTGATGTGTTATTTTGAGGGGACAGCAGATTTACACTGTTATACAAGCTGTCTGCTTCAAACAAAGTGCTCCTCAGGTTGTCTGACAGGTTGTCTCTCCTTTAACACATCAGAAACGTGTCCAACAGCTTCTGCGGCAGCTTTGCTAAACAGACAACAGTAAAATATTTTGGGTAATTCGCTGCTTCTGTCTCTCTGTTCAGTGTAAATTTACTGTCCCCTCAAAATAACACATCACACAGTCATTAATGTCTGACTTTGCTTGCCAGCAGTTTAGCACTGTTACACAAGCTGCACATTCACTACTGTACACTGTAGCAAAGTGTCATTTATCCAGTGTTGTCACATGAAAAGATATTAACCAAATATCTACAAAAATGTGAGGGGTGGACTCGCTTTTGTGAGATACTGTATGTACGGATGAGATTGACTTGACACTTTATTAATCTGATCTGTAAGGATTAAAGTCGATGAAGTGAGGATACAGCTGTAGGAGCAGCTCAGACGAGAAACAGGAAGTGAAGCTTTGAAGCACCACAAAGACGCCAACCTGATGTCAGACCGACTGCTCACACACAACCCAGACCGCAAGACAGCAACTCTAAAAACTTCTGCAACACCTTTCAAATGAGAAGTTCCCAGACAGCAGCAGATTCAACAGATTCAGTTTTTATTTGTCTTGACCTCAAAGTCGCCCGCTGACATCCTGCCCTAATGTACGGGGTCTGCAGGCCTTTAGAATTAATGGAAAAAGGTGTTAAATCTGGGCTGCAGTAAGCTGTAACGTCAGGAGATGTTGAAGGCTACACCTCTGAACGGACAGAGGGATTGTTGTGATGCTGGATTGAGCCTTTTTTGTTGAGTTTCAGTCAAACACCGTCTCTGCAGCAGCTAGAAAGCTCAGAGATGATGTTTGTTCAGACTCAACCTGAAGCAAATTATAAGACGTTAACAAAACACATTATTTGTTTGGTTAAAACCGGCAAAGCTGCACTGTGAGAAAAGTGCTGTTCACTTCGTTTCACAAGGCGCCGTCGGCCCTGATGAGCTTCACCGAGGTTTGCGAGACACAAGAGGCCGGCTTAATGTCAGACGCCGCTCGCACACAGCTGAGACCACAAGACTCGAGTCTCCTCTGGGTTCTGTAGGTTTTTGATCTATAAAAGTCAGACACTAAAACGTCTGCAGCACTTTTCAAACTAAAGTCTGAGAGACAGCAGGAGCAGCAACACGACGCCACATCCTGTCTTAATGTAGGAGACCTGCAGGTCATCAAACGGATTAAAAAGCTTTGAGCTTGTTTTAATGTAAAAACACAAATGTAAAATCGAGTTTCTCCGCTGCTGGTGAACTTGTTCAGACTGAAGGCCTAGCATTATTCACATGAATGAACAAATTATTTAACTTGGCTATGGTTAAGGTTTGGTGAAGTGCAGGAAACTAAAACTACTTGGTTAAGATGCAGCCGAGTACAGACCAGCTAGAGAGAGCAGATTAAGTGCACTTCTCTGTTTATTCTCTTTTCAAAATTATTGTAACTCAATTATTTGCTCAACCCCTCAGCCTGTTTTTATTTTCCATTGAACTCTTGCACACTGCACTGTAACTTTTATTATATTTTAATGTGTCATTTTTCAATTTCCCTATGTTGCTTTTAAACTTTTTTATATTTCCCTGTTGCTTTTATGTTTTATGTAAAGCACTTTGAATTACCTTGTTGTTGAAATGTGCTGTACAAATAAACTTGCCTTGCCTAATTTGTGCCTGCCATGTTTTATCAGAGATTTGTTTGAATCATGAGTCATCCGAATTATAATAGATGTGTTTAAAGTTTCCCAAGTTACGACTGTGTTTCCTGCTTAGGTAGCCGGCAGGCTGCCATCTTTGTTTTGGGAAACAAGTTCAAAATCTTTAGGACAGAATATTTTTTCATCCATCCAGTTGAAGCATCTGGACTAATTTTTCCAACTGTCTACATGTCAAATATAAATACTGCAGGTGAGCGGAGAGTCCAGGTACCGTCCAGGTGCTCAGAAACCGTCCAGGTGTCCCAGTCGGTGTCGAGGCAGCTCTGGAGAAGAGGCAGCAGACGGGGGGGCTCTGAAGGTGGGGAGCTGGATCTCCTCGTACACACAGCAGGAGTACTGAGAACAGTACAAAGTACAGTAAACAGTACTGACACTGGCGCTGCTGGCAGAAGTAGAAGAAGAAAAGGTGCAGTACAAGGTTACGTAGTAACTCTAGATGTAGTATTTGTAGAATTGATATTAACAGTAGTAGTAAGTGTAACAAATATGTAGTAGTACCAGCAGCAGAAGTTCTACAGGAAGGTAATTAGCATCTGCTATAAACACTCATACTTGTATCAGATAACTGTTTTCAGTCCAGTATAGTGATGCATCTGTCTCTATCAAATGAACCATGAATAAATAAACAGTATAAGTAGCATTAGCAGTAGCATTATTCCTGGCTAGCAGCGAGTAGCATTAGCAGACGTGGTAATGGCAGTCTCGGCAGTAACAGAGGTAATAGTATCCGTAACAAGTAGTAGGCTAGTATTCGAATATATATCCATTGATAGCAGCAGGTTGTTTACCTGTGGTGTCTTCAGGGTCTCTGGGTTCTCACAGGTGAAGGGTGAAGCCTCGTTCACCTGGCAGTTGCAGTTCTTCCTCTTCAAACACGGAGACGCAAAAACCAAACCTGCCCACAGAGCATCAGGAGAGTCAAACTAATACCACGACACTCTGAGCTGCAGACGATCACTGTTTAACTGTCCATGGAGACAGATTTGCTCATTTCTTACAACAAATCTTTGCACGAAGCAACAGAAACAGGAGAAGTTCACCACCAGCTTGCTTTCATGCAAATGTCCTTCACTTTCTACTTGGTGTGGAAATAAGTTTCCTACACAAGATCTGTGGCTGGCAGTACTGAATCCATGTTTATATTTATGAGATCTGATGAGCATCTCCTGTAGCTGTAGGGATCTTTAGTCAAAATACTGATGAAGGATGAACAGACTCACCTATTATTACCACGATGAAGAGGACGTTCAGGGCGAACAAGCTGAACACGACGAGCTGCTGGTGGTTGTTTGCTTCAGAGTCGTTGGTGGACGGAGTGACAGTAGGAACATCTGCGAAAAGAAAAGTGACAAATATGAACTGTTGATCTGATGAGATGCTTCAGAGAATTAAAAAGAAAACAAATTCATGTAACATTCATCTTCTTCAGACAAAGCGATGATGGTAGGCTTTTCAAATGTGGTCATTCAGAGCAGGAGGCTGTTTCCTGAAACTGCAACAAAGGAAACTGTGGCTTTTTACAACTTCTGATATTTTACCTCACATTATTATTGACAAATAAAGCTATACTTGCAACCTGTGGCTGCCAGCATTAAAGAAATATAAAAGAAGCTCTTGTTAAAAGCTGTGGTTCTTACCTGAGACCAGGCGGAAGGCGTCTTTAAAAGATATATTGCCTCGTATGTTCACGGCACAGATGTAAAGTCTGTGGTCCTCTGATGTGATGTTTGTTATCACAAGTCTGTTTTCCAAGGCTTGATATTTAGTTTTCAAAGTGTTTTCAAAGCAGTACTGGCTATTTTCGGCATCCTTACCGAAAGAGCGGGCGACGGGCACTCTGACCTGGCTGTGCATCTCCATGTACCAGTAAACATTTGAAGCGTTCCAAGAGCAGTTTAAGGTGACGCTGTGCCCCAGCTGCCCTTTGACCTCAGTCAGGTTCTCGGCCTCGGCGCACAGCAGAAACACCGGGAGGATCATCCAAAGCAGATCCATGATCACCAACGAGTCTGAAAGCCGGAGCTGCTCTGATCCGACTCTGCGTCTTCCTCCACGGCGAGCAGAGCGCTCTGACTTCCTATTTCACAAGGTGATTGTTTTGAATGTTAGACCCAAAACCTGCAAATACCAACTTTTGTGAGATGCTCAACAATCAGAAGTGAAACTTCAGGTGATCCATGCTGTGATACTCAGAGTTGTAGTACTACTTTACTTCTAAAATATTTAGAACAGTAAAACAGGAAGTGAAGCTCTGAACACGTCACATCCCCATAAAACCACAAGAGGCCGGCCTGATGTCAGACCCAGTGCTCTGACTCAGCTCAGACCACAAGAGTCTCCTCTGGGTTATTGTTGTAAACCGGTCAGACTGCAGCAGCTTCAGAGATAAAGTCTCACTTCCTGTTTTATAATGCAGGTTTGTGCACGTCTAAAAGCATCTTTGCACTGAGTTTCTTAAAAAATAACCCTGAGAACGATTAAAGTCTTGAACTGTATTAAAAGTCTTAAATCTTTGTCTCCTGGCTGCCTCTGATTCCTCTCCAGGTGGCTGACAGGTTGACGTCTTTAGTTCGAGTCTGAAACAGAGGCGTAACCTCGGAAACAAGTCAAAAACCTTTATTTTAATTCAGCGGACAGAATATTTTTCATCCAGGTGGTTCAAACACTCTTAAACAACCGTCAGGGCTTCGTCAAACTTCCGTTAATCGTCTCTGAGAGAAACCAATGGTTTGGTACATTATAACGGAAATACATGCAAATACATGAAGGGGGCGAGATGAGGTTAAAAGAAAGATGGTGGTCGCTCTAAAAACAGACTTTGACAGCAGAGAGACAGACCCTAAGTTATGAAAAAACTGAAATTCTGATTTCTGACTTTATATCCACATCTTTGTATTTAGGAGGAAAGAAAACACAAAAAAATTGAATTACAATTTGATGTAATGCTGAAGTTTAGTATGTTTATTATCACAAGACGTCTCATATCCGAGTCCGTTTCAGCACCAGCTGAACACAAGAAACATGAATGCAGTGTTTATTGTCCTCAGTTGTTCCTTTAGCTGCTACAAATGATTTTTAACACATTTTCAAACTTTGTGCAATTTCTTACTGTAATAACTGTTAGAGATGTTCATATATTCAAGAATCCGTCGGCAGCAAACAAACAAACTACTGAGCAAAGTTTTCATGAATTACAAAGAAAATAAATGACACAAACACATAAATAAGAGCTTTTCAGAAATTACAAAAACAATACAGTCAGATTATTATCAGGTCAACCAAACTGAACCTTGAACCACCTTAATCTAGTTGTGGACAACCCAGGCTCGCTTTATGAGAGGGAAACACCGAGTCCACAACCGCAAATACCAAGACCGGTCTGAGGTAGCGGAGAACACGTCCTCTCACTTCTCAAGCGTCTGTCCAACTGTCTAAATGATAAATACAAATGCTATAGGTGAGCGGACCAGTGTCCAGGTACCGTCCAGGTGTTTAAGAACCATCAGTCCAGGATCCCAGGTGTCACTGTCGAGGCAGCGTGGATAGAGGCAGCTGAGCTTTGGCGTAAATACACTCGAGAGGAGGACTGACGGGCAGGGGGTCTCTGTAGGTGGACAGCTGGATCTCCTCGTACTGAAATACACAGCAGGAGTACTGAGAAGAGCACAAAGTACAGCACAGGAGTAGAACTATACCTGATAGTACTGTCAGCAGCAATGAAGACAAAGACAAGGTGGACTACAGACAGTGATGGCAGTAGATACATGAATAGAGTCGTTAGCATTAGTAGTAATGTTAGCAGTAGTACTGATAGTGACTGAGGTAGTAATGTTAGCAGTAGTACTGATAGTGACTGAGGTAGTAATGTTAGCAGTAGTACTGATAGTGACTGAGGTAGTAATGGTAGCAGTAGTACTGATAGTGACTGAGGTAGTAATGGTAGCAGTAGTACTGATAGTGACTGAGGTAGTAATGTTAGCAGTAGTACAGATAGTGACTGAGGTAGTAATGGTAGCAGTAGTACTGATAGTGACTGAGGTAGTAATGGTAGCAGTAGTACTGATAGTGACTGAGGTAGTAATGGTAGCAATAGTACTGATAGTGACTGAGGTAGTAATGTTAGCAGTAGTACTGATAGTGACTGAGGTAGTAATGGTAGCAGTAGTACTGATAGTGACTGAGGTAGTAATGGTAGCAGTAGTACTGATAGTGACTGAGGTAGTAATGGTAGCAGTAGTACTGATAGTGACTGAGGTAGTAATGGTAGCAGTAGTACTGATAGTGACTGAGGTAGTAATGGTAGCAATAGTACTGATAGTGACTGAGGTAGTAATGTTAGCAGTAGTACTGATAGTGACTGAGGTAGTACTGATAGTGACTGAGGTAGTACAGATAGTGACTGAGGTAGTAATGGTAGCAGTAGTACTGATAGTGACTGAGGTAGTAATGGTAGCAGTAGTACTGATAGTGACTGAGGTAGTACAGATAGTGACTGAGGTAGTAATGGTAGCAGTAGTACTGATAGTGACTGAGGTAGTAATGGTAGCAGTAGTACTGATAGTGACTGAGGTAGTAATGTTAGCAGTAGTACTGATAGTGACTGAGGTAGTAATGTTAGCAGTAGTACTGATAGTGACTGAGGTAGTAATGGTAGCAGTAGTACTGATAGTGACTGAGGTAGTAATGGTAGCAGTAGTACTGATAGTGACTGAGGTAGTAATGGTAGCAGTAGTACTGATAGTGACTGAGGTAGTAATGGTAGCAGTAGTACTGATAGTGACTGAGGTAGTAATGTTAGCAGTAGTACTGATAGTGACTGAGGTAGTAATGGTAGCAGTAGTACTGATAGTGACTGAGGTAGTAATGGTAGCAGTAGTACTGATAGTGACTGAGGTAGTAATGGTAGCAGTAGTACTGATAGTGACTGAGGTAGTAATGTTAGCAGTAGTACTGATAGTGACTGAGGTAGTAATGGTAGCAGTAGTACTGATAGTGACTGAGGTAGTAATGGTAGCAGTAGTACTGATAGTGACTGAGGTAGTAATGGTAGCAGTAGTACTGATAGTGACTGAGGTAGTAATGTTAGCAGTAGTACTGATAGTGACTGAGGTAGTAATGGTAGCAATAGTACTGATAGTGACTGAGGTAGTAATGTTAGCAGTAGTACTGATAGTGACTGAGGTAGTAATGGTAGCAGTAGTACTGATAGTGACTGAGGTAGTAATGGTAGCAGTAGTACTGATAGTGACTGAGGTAGTAATGTTAGCAGTAGTACTGATAGTGACTGAGGTAGTAATGTTAGCAGTAGTACTGATAGTGACTGAGGTAGTAATGGTAGCAGTAGTACTGATAGTGACTGAGGTAGTAATGGTAGCAGTAGTACTGATAGTGACTGAGGTAGTAATGGTAGCAGTAGTACTGATAGTGACTGAGGTAGTAATGTTAGCAGTAGTACTGATAGTGACTGAGGTAGTAATGGTAGCAGTAGTACTGATAGTGACTGAGGTAGTAATGTTAGCAGTAGTACAGATAGTGACTGAGGTAGTAATGGTAGCAGTAGTACTGATAGTGACTGAGGTAGTAATGGTAGCAGTAGTACTGATAGTGACTGAGGTAGTAATGTTAGCAGTAGTACTGATAGTGACTGAGGTAGTACTGATAGTGACTGAGGTAGTAATGGTAGCAGTAGTACTGATAGTGACTGAGGTAGTAATGGTAGCAGTAGTACTGATAGTGACTGAGGTAGTAATGGTAGCAGTAGTACTGATAGTGACTGAGGTAGTAATGTTAGCAGTAGTACTGATAGTGACTGAGGTAGTAGTGTTAGCAGTAGTACTGATAGTGACTGAGGTAGTAATGGTAGCAGTAGTACTGATAGTGACTGAGGTAGTAATGTTAGCAGTAGTACTGATAGTGACTGAGGTAGTAATGTTAGCAGTAGTACTGATAGTGACTGAGGTAGTAATGGTAGCAGTAGCAGTCACAGAGAGCAGAGTCATGTCACAGTATAAATAGCGGCAGGCTGTGTACCTGGGGGGTCTCCAGGGTCTCTGGGGTGAAGGGCGAAGGCTCGTTCACCTGGCAGTTGCAGTTTCTCTTCTGCCAACGCAGAGATGTACAAACCAAACCTGCCGACAGAGCGTCAGGTGAGTGTGACTGATAGGCCTTCACCCTGAGCTTCAGACGATCAATGTTTAAAATAGATTTTACAGTCAGCTCTGATTCTCCGCCAGCGTCTAGGTAAAACTAAATTTAATTGGTCAAACGCTCGTCTCCGACAGCTACACTTCGGAACAAACAACTCAACTCCCAAAGTGTGAAACTTCATCTTTGGTTTGCAAAAAGCAACAGAAACACAATGAGTTAACCACCTGGTCAAGTCAGACATGAAGGGCAGTTTTAGCTAAATGCTAACAACTTCAGATTCTGTCTTTGGTGACTGCAGCGCACTTCTGTACACGCAAGACTTGTTTTAAGCTCAACAGCAATGTGATTCTGACAGTACTAATAATCCAATTAACATTATCTATTAAATTAACAAAGATAAGATTACACAGAATGGTTGTGGAAGATTTATTAATGAACTGATTGTTTGATTTACTGTTGTGAAACACGATCCAGTAATTAGACAATAGTTTCCATTTATGCTTTTGAAACTGTTGAGGATTATTACTTCCTACAGCAGTTTGCTTCTGTACCAGCCGCACAAATACCAGCCTAAGTACAGATGCGGAAGCTCTTGGTATTTAAGAGCATAGTGATCACAAAGTGTTCCTTGGGTTAAAAACAGACTCACCTATCACCAGAGAGACGAGGAGCACATTCAGGGCGAGCGAGCTGTACACGACGGACTCATTCTGCCACATTGTCCTGCTGGCCGGCTGCTGGTGGTTGTTTGCTTCACTGTTGGTGGACAGAGTGACAGTAGGAACGACAGTAGGAACGTCTGCTAAAAGAGAAGTGAACAAGATGAACGGAGAAACTGATGTGTCATCAAACTCACTCATATTTACCAAGGTGGATGTTAAAATGAGGCAACGCATTCTGAGTAAAGGTCTGCTTCAAACAAAGTGCTCCTCAGGTTGTCTGGCAGTGAATGAAAACAACTTCTGCAACTTTATCTTTTCATGTGACAACACTGACGAAATGACACCTTGCTCCAGAGTAAAGTAGTGAGTGTGCAGCTTGTGCAACAGTGTAAATCTGCTGCCCCCTCAAAATAACACATCACACATTAATGTCTGACTTATGTTGCCAGCGGTTTAGACATGAAAAGATATAATCAAATATTTACACAAATTCAGGGGGTGTAATCACTTTTGTGAGATACTGTATTCAGCTACAACCTGCAGCTGATTAGCTTAGCTTAGCATAAAGACTGGAAACAGGGGTAAACAGCTGGCCTCGTGCTGCCACCTAGAAGCGCCTCTAAAACTTGCTGATTAAAATCAGAACAACACGTTGCAGTGTTATAGCTTATGTGTGCTGGACCATGTTGCAGTTGGTTAAATGACATCTCATGGTGTCAAGAAGGAAGTCACTCTGAACAGTTAGTAAACAGTCAGACACATAACCCTCCATAAAGCCACAACTTGTTGTTTTCACACTTTGGTGGCTCAAACATAACATGTTAATCAGTGATCTTAAGAGGTCGCGGCAGGTGGATTTTGTTACCATTGGACAGAACCAGGTCAGCTGTTTGCCCAGGATTCCTCTCTTTATGCTAAGCTGCCAGGCAGCCCGGACGAGGCTATGATGGCTGGTTCATTCGGGCCTGTTTGATGAAATTTGCAAGCTGCTATTTCCAACATGAAATATTTTCCTTACTGCATAAAATATGGACACTTTTGTTTACAACCAATGTCGGGGCGTGAGAGAGCCCGGACTCTCACAGTTATGTGCAATTTGCAAGCGCCACGTGACACTATCATCATTTTGAAAATTATATGTAAGAAGAAAAAAGCAGTTTCAGCTCTCATCGCTATCGTTTTAAGATATTTGTTGGAGCTAGTTCTTTTGAAGCTGCTGAACCCTTAAAGTGGGCCTACCGACCTGTTAAAGTTGAGCGAAACAGCTGTCTGGTGTAGGCGCCTCTTTTTCAATGTTGGAAATGTGTGTGGGAGTCACAGATGCTGTTAGATGATACACTTCTAAAGGATTTTACATTACTTGTCTCATCTTGCCTTAAGATGTAGTCGGGTAACATTTTGAGTTAACTAGTTGGCTCGAAACAGACTGAACCCTTAAAGTGGGCGAGATATTTCGATTGTCTGTTTTGCACCTCATGTTTGAGGATGCGAGATCCCTATCAGACTAAAATATAATTCAGCACTGCCACCATTCGCAATAAAGATTACACTGACCAACAACTGATGCTTTGAATACGTTGTTTTTGCCAATAAACCCTTTGAATTGAATTCATGCAGCGCTGAACAAGATTGTTAGATTTTCTCTTTCAGAACAAGTTACAAAGGTTCAGATGCTGTTCGAAGCTACAAAACGCACTTTACTGGAAGCATCCTGAGGCCTTACTGAGCTCACAAACTTTAAGATACTATCTTGTTATCCAACCCCTGTGGAGCAGTCTTACATCCAACAACATCCATCCATCCAAAAGTTCTATTAATTCTATAATTAACAAAATTAGAAAATACAGACTACTACTACTTTTTACAACAATGTAAGTAAAACAGAAGCTCTTGTTAAAAGCTGTGGTTCTTACCTGAGACCAGGCGGAAGGCGTCTTTAAAAGATATATTGCCTTGTATCTTCACGGCACAGATGTAAAGTCTGTGGTCCTCTGATGTGATGTTTGTTATCACAAGTCTGTTTTCCAAGGCTTGATATTTAGTTTTCAAAGTGTTTTCAAAGCAGTACTGGCTATTTTCGGCATCCTTACCGAAAGAGCGGGCGACGGGCACTCTGACCTGGCTGTGCATCTCCATGTACCAGTAAACATTTGAAGCGTTCCAAGAGCAGTTTAAGGTGACGCTGTGCCCCAGCTGCCCTTTGACCTCAGTCAGGTTCTCGGCCTCGGCGCACAGCAGAAACACCGGGAGGATCATCCAAAGCAGATCCATGATCACCAACGAGTCTGAAAGCCGGAGCTGCTCTGATCCGACTCTGCGTCTTCCTCCACGGCGAGCAGAGCGCTCTGACTTCCTATTTCACAAGGTGATTGTTTTGTATGTTAGACCCGATGATGTCAACCACAAGTTTCATCAGACGCTCAACAGCCGGAAGTGAAACTTGTTCACCAGCAGCTTACCCCCTGCATCAGGAAGCTGCGGCCATGTTTGGGTTCATTGTACAGATTTCCAGGACACGTTCTTGGAGGTAGATATTTTAAATTAACCTGGAAAGGCTCCAGTATTCTGCTGCCTTCACTGCACCACAGCCTCACTTAAGAGTACTTTACTTTTTAAATACTTGTCAAAGTAAGAAAGCAGCTTCAAAGAGGAGATTTTAAAGACGTAATACTAGTGACAGTTCGACTAGTACTCATAGCAGTTGTAGCAATAATGATAGTAGGATTAGCTAGTACCAATAAAAGTACTAAAAGTAACAGTACTAGAAGTAGTTGAAGTAATAGCAGCGGTACTAGGACTAACAGAAACAGTAGTATCATTAAAAAAAATAGAAATGCAGTAAAAACAGAATTGCAGTAATTGGAGCAGTAGGAATAAGAGTATTGGAGTTTTAGTACCGGTAATGAGTATTATAGCTGTATTAGTAAGAAAGGGAGTAAAAGTAAGTTTCTTAGTAGAAGTAGCATTTATTTTAGTGGTAGTACCAGAAGTACAGTAGTGGCAGCTGTAGTACAGTAGCAGTTAAAGTACAAGAAACCTCAATACTAACGTAGTAGTTCAGGAGTAAAAGTAATTGTACTGCCTGTACAAAGAACTACAGTATATTTTAGTAGAAGTACTGCAGTAACAACTGGAGTACAGCAGTAGTAGTAGGCTGTAACTTCTATAGCATAAGTACAAGTTATAGTAGTACTGCCAATAAAAATAGCATGAGTTAATAGTTCAGTGAAAGTAGTACTAGTGACAGTACGAGGTATAGCAGTACCAGTTACTACAGTTCCAGTAACAATAATATCAGAAGTAACAGTAAGTTACAGCTTCACAGTAATTATACTAATAGCAGCGTGAGTACTACTAGTAGCAGTAACTGTAAGAGCAGCAGAAAAAGTGCTAGTACTGGCAGGAGTAGAGAAGTTACCTTTAATAGTATTAGTTGAGGTTAAATAGGCATTGCAGTACTAGGTTTAGTGAAAGTAGTAGTACACACAACACAAGTAACAACAACAGTACAAGCAGCAGTATGTACAACAGCAGTAGTAGTGCAAATAACAGTAGTACAGAAAGTAGTAGTACTATAGTTAAAGTAGTAGACGTGTTAGTAGAAGTAGCAGTTACAGTAGTAGTAGTACTAACAGTAGTAGTATCTTCCCTTCTCAGACTAATAAAGTTTGAGTAATTGAACATCAGAGCAGCTCACCAGCTCCATGATGGGATGAAGTGGCTCCAGCTTGTGGAACAAACTTGTTACTGCAGAAAAACTTTTCTTAAACTTGACCTTTAATTTCAGAATAAAACAAACTTCAGTCTGCAGCTGCAACACGAGGCTGTTTACACACATCAGTCTACAACAGAAATGTTTTGGACCGTCCAATCACAGAAAGACATTTGACATCCTTCATCTTTACATCTTCAGTCGAGATCTCAACCTGACAAATATCCTGCAGCTCTAACTAAATGTGGGAAACTTCTTCTTTGTCTTCTGGTGATACACTCAAACAGCACTGAGCAAAATCAGCAACATTAAATAAATACAAAGCATTTAAAGAGCTTCAAATACAAAGCATTTAAAGAGCTTCAACAATAACATGCTATGAGGCTGCTTATCACTAAACTCCACAAAAACCAGATCCTACATTTCCCACAATGCAACAGGGCTCTAAAGCGCACACAGCAGCATGACTGACGCCTCTGATTAGCTTTATATAGCACATGTAACGTTAGCCTCAGCTCAGAAATGTGGTTATAAACAGACACAATCCACTACGAGACAGGAAATAAATAAACTTCTTGTTTTACAGCAAAATTAGACAGAAATGATTTGGACCAAGATGAAATGTGTAGTTTTAAATATGTAACTGCTGCAGTTTCATGTTTCAACATGTTTCAGCAAAAATAGCAAAGCTAAAAATACATTGTTATTACATTAATAAGCAATTTATTAATCCAACACAAATACTACACTGAAGAAATATATTCTCATGACTTAACAGAAAAAAGCTGCTACTGATGCGAAGTTAGATATTTTACTTCTTCTACAATATTGTAATATAAATAAAAATCCTTCCTGTTAATTGACTGAGATAAATATTTTTCCTACATTTTTATCATCAAAGCTTATTTTAAGTTTTCAAACTAATCTGACATGTTTTCACTTCAAAATGTTTTTCTTTGGTTTGTTTTTTGCAGATTTATAAATAAACGTAAAAAAATATAAATATCATCCAAACAGCTCGTTATTCAAATAACGTTTCCACGTCAGCATCCAAACCAAGTAGCTTCGTTCTTCATTAGAAACTTCACTTGTGTGGAAAATAATAATTAACCAGTAACAGGAGTTCTGCTCTGAAATGAACCATCGCCACAGGAACAGTGTGATGTCAGCAGCTATCCGGCCAATCAGCATCTACATAAACTGCCCAAATACCTGCAGCTTTAAATTAATGTCAATTCCAGTTCTTTAATATAATTTCACTCATTTGCTTCTTTTGTTTTTCAAACATTTCAGATTAGACCAGGTGCTTTGACAGCCACCAAACGTCTTTTACCTTCAGTTGGTTTCAGTTTGTTTTAGAATCAAATTATAATAATAATAAATATATAAATAAACTGTTAAAATGGTGTCCTGGTGGTGCATTCAGGTGCTGAAGTGAACGCCTGACAGCAGAGCTTCATTCAGCTGCGTTCAGGAGCTCCGATGTTTGTAAACAACAGGGAAAATAATAAATCAATTTTGACAAAACAGCCAATGGAAATGATTTTGCTGACTGCAGACAGTTTAAGCTGCACGGCAGAAACGCAGCGTTCCTCCACATCGAACTCTCATTGGACGATGAGAGAAGTGCAAACAGCTGCATGTTTTGTAACACCACTGAATGATCCTTCAGGAAGTCAAACTACCTGATGACAGAGCAGGAACACGTACAGCAGGAAGGCGACAGTAAACTGTGGTAACAGAACAGTGAGAGTGCAGCGACTGAAATGAAAAGAGGAGGAGGTTACTAATGGCTGCAGTGAGGAGAGTCAGCTGGTTATTAACACCGTCCCAGAGGGGGCAGCAGTCAGCAGTAGTAGTAACATTAACAACGTTATTAAGTAACATTATAAGATTATTAACTGTAAACTGTATAATATAAGCTCACACTGTCAACAGTTGCACATTAAATGTTGGAACTTTGTAAAGCAGCGCTGAGACTTTAAGTGTGTTTCAGTTATGAAATTAAAGCTAGTTTTTCCTTTTAGAATTGAACTCTTCTTCAGTTTCTTTCCTCAAAGCTGCCAGAACTTTAGCTTTAGTGTAAGCTGCGTTTAAGCTGTAACACCTTCCTAGTGAAAAGAACTTAACAACAAAGACAGAGGAAGTAACAGCAGAACCATGTTTGGTGTTACCGCAGCGCCATCTGATGGTCCAGGAGGAGGAGTCGCTGCTTCAACACGTTTATCTGCAACATGAACACAAACAATGATCCTGAATCTTCACTGCAACTTCGTGAGAATTTGTATTGTGATGCTGAAACAGTGAAAACATACAGTGGCATCTCATAAAATTACACACACTCATTACCCATAAAGTGAAATATTTTTTTGTTTTAGTCTTGAAGATTACAGCTTATCTCTCATGGAAATCAAACATCCATTCCTCAAAATATTAGAATAAAGAATTAAATATCAACCTGAGAAGAGCTTTTAATCTTTCAGTCTGGTTCAGCTCCTTGAGCCGTAATCATTACGAGAGATGAACTACAGGCAGTCGAAAAAAGTGCACAATGCACTTTGGATAAATGTTTGGACAGATTGCTTGTGTTTTCTCCCTTGCACAAGTCTTGTTGCACTAGTTGAAACGAGCTTTGTCAGCATCGACTCTGTTGAAGTCAAACCTTCTCTCCGCCATCATCACTAATGCAGAGCGGGGTCTCTTGTGTACGTTTGTGCTGTAGCGTGAGAGAGAGAGAACAAACCCTGCACTTTGCTTTTATACTTTAATGTTGCAGTAATAGAAACAACATTTAGTTATATTTAACTTATTCAGTTCTACTCCTATAGTGAACTTAAAGACAACCAGCCAGCTAATATTATTCTATGTTTGTTTATTTATTTTAAGTCAAAATTGAACAATGTTATTGCACATTGCAGATTTGTTTTTCTGGTCATTTGGTTTAAGTGCTGTGAAAAGGCCCTTCTATTGCTGGGGGAAACCCAGACTTTTATAAACTGCATACACATTTTGAAAGATTCCCCGATATTCAACATTTTACAGTTGATTCTATTTTTATTTTAAAATTTTGCAATTTCGTCCGTGTTTTTCGTTTTGTGAAAATCATACAGCCCTACATGTGAAAGATTGGGCTGATGACTCACCTGAGAACCGTGTCCTCAGGACTAAAGAGCTTCTAGTGGGAACAAACTACAGACTAAACACCTGTTCAGAGCCAGTGAGAGGTCAAGACCAGCAGGTGGCAGCATTACAGCAGAGACACTGAGGAACACTGAGGAAACAGAGTGTGACATGATGCAGCCAACAGTAAGGTTATCATTATATTTAATTTCATCAGCTAAACTGTGAAACACAAGAGAATATTTCACAAGTTCAGCTGATGGACCTGCAGATTTCTGGGCTCTTCCAGGACTTCTCATCCATATTGGTTTAAAAAATGAGCCTCAAAGTCAGCGGAGGAAGTCTGTGTGATGCGACAGAAAGCTCCAGAACAGCTGCTAAATGGAGGTGAAATATGCGCCCTATAGAATCAGATTAGATTGTTATTTTATTCAAAGTTCTTCTTTCAAACTCAGCAGAACTCTTTGATGTGCACATCAGGGAGAAACACCTTTGTTTGTGTTCAGTGTCAGTGTCTGCTGCCACCTGCTGGTCTGTCCTGGCACTGTTACAAACCTCTGAAAGCACTGAGGAGTCTACAAACCTGAGACGCTGAGGGAGATATGCAGCTGGAAGTCCACCTTTGGGATGTGGCACTCATACGGGCCGCTGTCCGACTGCTGGACGTTCTTCATGATGATGGAGAAGTTCCCTTTCTTGTAGAACTCCGGGAAACTGGACACTCGACCTTTGAATTTCTGGTTCTGGGTTGAGTCGTCTGGTACATTTTTCATAATGTCCAGTACGATCAAGTCGTTTTGGTCCCTCCAGAAGACGGAGACAGGGTCTGGTAGAAGGTGGACCTCCCTGTAGATGCAGGGCAGCAGGACGGTGTCGCCGATGAATCCTTCGATTTTACCCTGGCAGGTCACTGAGAGACAACAGAAAAGGATTCTGGTATTTAAAAGACAAACATCTGGCTGACTGATCAACATGACAAACACGTTTTTTCTCTCTCTGTAGGCTTCACCTCAAATCAGCCATGTTGTTGCCTTATTTCATGTCTCCTCGCCCCAAAGACAGACAGTCCTCTGGACTGGGATCAGCTGCTCCATGTTCCGGTTTATCAAACAGCTTTATAAGCGGAGGTGAAACTGGATTGTGAGACAGCAGCTCCTCATGAAGCTTTGTCAGAACCAACACATAATGGCTACAGATCAGATCTTTACTATCCAGAAACATGTCTGTCAACATTATGACATGTTGAAAAACATCTCAAGGTCGAAAAGCAATAACTGTCACAGATTACAGCATCATGCACTAGAGAAGAATCCAGTAACTCTCTGCCAGGCTTTCTGTTGCTTGTAAACAGGAGATCATTTCAGCTCTCAGCCTAATCCGGGGAAAACGGTTCATCATCAGCGTAAAAAATAACACTAAAATTGCAGTAATAAACTTGCCAGGACAGACAGAGGAAACAGAATTAAACCACCGCCGTTATCTGTGTATCTGTGTTGTACAGCTGTGTGTCATGTTAAGCAGGATGTGCGATCCCTTTCCGAGGATTGGCTGGCTCGAGACGTGCTTACTTCCTGGTTCCGGACGGTGATCTGATTGGCGCGGCATCTAGCAACCTCCTCCAATCATCTACCGCTTTCTAGATCATCCCCACTTCTAAAAGCTGCCTCCCTGTTGAACTTGACAGTTGTGATTTTGCTCTTGGTCAACTCACCTTGTTTGTATTGTGGTAAATGTGTTAACGTCTGTAGTAGCTTTAGTTCAGTGATTTAAGATCCTAGTGTCCCTGTGTTACCTTACTCTGTGATTTGTAGTAAGGAAAATGGGCAAGGATCTAATTGGGGTTAACTGACACCAACTTGACACCTGTAGTTTCATTTTATGTTAGACACACTAGGTTTAGAGGGTGCTGCTCATTTAGTATTTTGGTAACTGATGACGGCTCAGAGAGAGTTTTGTTGAGTTTGATTTTGAAGTAGCAAGTGGCTATCTCTCATTTTGGAGAGACCTTATTAAGTTATATTTGTTTCTTTGTCATTAATATGTCAGCTGTTTATTGCTGCTGTTCGGCTGGTTGTCTTTTACTATTATTATTATTTTTATTGTTTTTTTTGTTTGTGTTTGTTTGTTGTTGTTTTTCTCCTCCCCAAGCCCCCCTCTCTGTTCTCTTGCAGGTTTCGTTGCTTTCTGCAATTGGTGTTTCCCACAGCTTTTCCCTGTTGTCCCCACCCTCCATCCCCCTTCTCTTGCAGGTGTTGTCCTTTCTCTGTGCTGTCTGTTTGTGCCCCCCCATCCCCATGTCTGCCCCCCTGTCCGGCCCGGTGACAAATCAATACATAATTAAATAAATAATAAAACAGACAAAGGAGTATTTTAATACTCTCTTGTTAAAGTAAAATCTGTCTGGCACAATATGGTATCCAGGTCATTATACTCTATACCAGGCTGCTGGGCAGGACAGGTTTAAAAAAAAAATAATAATAATAAATATTTGTTTCTTTGAGTTAAGCAGCATCCAACAGCCCTTTTTCCGTTCTTTTTGTAAACCCTGCAAATAAATAACTTTTTTTTACCAAAAACATTCTGATTCATGTTGCTTCCCTTTTCCCCACGAGCCTGTTGTAACAGTTTCAGCTTCTATAATCCATGTTCAGACGCTCTGATGGAGCTCAGGATTTATCAGGACGGCTGCTTTACTTCAGTTTCGCTGTATGAACCTGGACTGTGTGAGAGACCTTTCGGATGTGGAGAAGAACACAGAACAAGAATTCACATCAGATCCTGACCGATCCTGTCGGCACATCAGGAGACTTCAATATTAAGTTAAGCTGCTATGCTTTGTGTGTAGTAGTATACTTTATTGTCCTCGAAAGGAAATTTGTTTTGGACTGCATGGTTGCTGCATGTACATAGAAATATACAATATATGTAAATGGGGAGACGCTTCACTCTATTCACCCACCTAGAAATCCATAATATTAATTTTTATGACCCAGCTCACCCAGTCACACATCACTCATCAGTGTTTCCCAGACACAGGCTCACTGCCCTGCTATATTAACGGCTGCCCAAGTAAATCTGGCGACCCATTGTAGCATTTTGCAGAGAAACAGAGAGAGAGATGTTATTTATTAAGTTATAAGATGCAGACACGGGATATTTTACAAGGACAATATTTTACAAGGTAGAGCAGCAGTGAACGCACCACAGCAGAGTAGGGCTGCACTGGAAAAAACTGACATTGCAATATTTTTGTTTTCTTTAGAAATACTGGGGTGATTTTGTAGGAAAAATGCTTAGAAAAAAAACAGCTGAAATATTTCTTTTTAGTCTGAAGACTTTTCTGAGTTCGATTTTCAACTTGTTGTGGACTAACAGAGCTTTGGTTGTTTGATAATCTGATCAATAACAGTACTGTGATTGGTGGTTCACTGCGCATGCAGAGCCTGCTGGTCACTAACAAACAAACTCTGAGTCTCCAAGAACCCTCAAATCAGAGTAAATGATGTTCCATCAGACTTCTCTTGTAGATCAGTCATGGAAAATGAGAACTGTGTGAACTTTCCTTTTGTATCAAGCAGCAAAAAAGTTGAGTTGGTTGTGTTAATTTCACTTGCTTAATGTTGCACGTCCTGCAATGTGACTACTGCGCATGTTCACGCTGTGACGACGACGCTGAAACGACATACTGAGCAGCCGTACTGCAGACTCACTTGTTGGTTTTGGTTTTCAGAGGCTTCCTCATGAACAAACCTCCTCCTCATGCTGCAGCTCTGCAGCTGAAAACTGACTTCTTTCATTAACTTTATAAAACAGCCTGCTGCTGATGGAGAAACTCGACACAGACAGGAAGAGACGGGGCCGGCCGGCGTGTCTGCAGCAGAGGTGAGAAAACCAGAACTGAAGGGAACAAAAATGACTTTTTAATTAAAGGCTGCAGCTCTATTTAGTAGCTGTTTAGTGTGAAACTGTCTATTGTGTAAAGATCTCGAGCTGCATAACTTCTGTCTGCTGATGAAGATCAAGTGATCAAAAGCTGGAGCAGCTACTGAATGGACCCTGATGGGAGATTATGTTGTTGACATATTTTCTGGTTTGTGTTGCTGCTGCCTGTCTCATAAAAAAAAAACACAAACATTTTCAGTCAAATGAAGCTTTTCTGGTTCAATCAAACCTAAAAACATTTATTAACATTAGAAAAACTCACCTGTGTTCACTCTGTACAGCAACAACAGCCACAGCAGAAACTCTCCTCCCAACCTGTGGAGACACAAGTTAATAACATGAAAGACGTCTTCACAGCAAACTCACTCAAAACCACTTGTTCAAAGTCAAAACCACAACTGTCTGCTGCTGCAGGAGTTGCTTCATATACAAGATGTGTATGAAGTGTTGTTGGGCTGAAGCTGAGGAAGGTTTGACTCACAGGAAGTTCTGCAAAGCAGGTTTAGCAAATGAGAGAACTGAAAGAAAACTAAAAAATCCACGAGTCAACAAGGAAACTAAGTGTAGCTGAAGGACTCCTGCCCCTCCTGCTGCAGGTCAGATTAGTTTCATCACTCAGTAAACTGGACTTTATGCAGAGACCAGGTCCTGATGTTCCACTTCACTGTTTCATAACTCCTCATGTTCAGGAGGTGAGAGGTCACGTCTCCTTCTCTGACCTTCAGCCTCACAGACTCAGCACACATTAACTTAACACTTAATATCTGACCTGCTGTCCTGTTGGCCTTTTATACCTCGTATGGTTGTTGATGTTAAAGTTAAACAGAATATTAATCACAATGTGACTTTGTGGGATTTAGAAGTTATATATTTATTCCTGAGCTTGGTACACTTCCGTTAATTAACCCTAACTAGCTAATTAACTAGCCTAAGCATGCTAATTAGCAGGTTTGTTCTTTACAGGAAGTTTAAACAACTTAAATCAGCAACTATTTAAAATATATAAATCCCAAAGTCTCTTTTGGGCCTCGGAGTTACACATTTAAGCCGCTTAGGCCTCATTCGGCTCCTTAAAGTCGCCTAACGATACTGAACAATGACGAAGTTTCACTTGCTCACTGGACAGTAAACAAAGCTGGCTAGCTGCTAATGCTAGCTCGCTAGTTAGCCTTCAGTTGTAGTGACAGGAGACTTCCGGCCTTTTCTCTCTCCTGTTAACTGACCTCGTCAAAGCGCTCATGTTGTTCAGAGGTCCGCTACAGGCAGAAACTTGTACACATGTGTATTAAACTGTTTCAGGCCCTGAAGTGAGCTCGACCTCCACCCTTAAAGAAACATCTCCTCTTACGTCACCTACGCAGCAGGCCCGACGTCACACGTCACACGCCAGCGTAAAGGCCGTAAAGCTCATTATACTGAATTTATCTGTCTTGACCTTCACTAATTTACCGATACTTCATTTAATCAAATTGTGCCATCTGGAATTTATTTCTTTTTATATTTCCTCTCGTTTTGTTGCTCTGAGCTTTATTTTGAACTGTAATTGCAATTTTGACAAACTCCCTGTTAAACTCTCCACATTCAACTCTCTGAAATATAAAACACAATTTCTCACCACACAGGTGTTTTATTTGGAATAACAAATTACTGTTCTTTTTTTTTTTAAAGCTTACAAAATGAGAATCTGCTGGTGACCCAGCTGTTCAGTAGAAAGGGGCGACTGCTCTCTTATAGAGAGTTTTTATCAACAAAGAAAGAATCTGCTGAAGTATTTGACGCCTTCAGTCAGGTGCAGTAATGCTTTTTAGAAATACTGACCTCCACCTACTTCCACGTCCCTCTCCAATCCAGCTGAATCAGTTGGAAACATCTGTTTCTCTCAGCATCCTCCCAATAATAATATTGTGTATTATGTCACTTTCATTTCTAAATCCAACAGCAAAGAAGCTGCGAAAACTAGTTTTAGTTCTTATTATTCATATCTGTGTAATGTTATTTATTCCCATCTATGTAAACCCATGTAAAATGTGTTGCCCTGTTTGCAATAAAGAGTCTACAGCTCCTGCAGTCAGATGGAAGCTGGTTTGAAATATCAACAGGCAACATTGTGAAACCAACAAAACTAGAGAAGTTTCCTTCATAATTATACATTTCAATTCTCCTGTGAACCAGCTGATCTCAGCGACCTGTGCCGGCCTTTCTGTGTGGAGTTTGCATGTTCTCCCCGTGTCCGCGTGGGTTCCTCCCACCGTCCAGAGACGTGCAGGCAAGGTTTATTGGTGTCTCTAAAATTGTCCTTAGGTGTGAGTGTGACTGGTTGTTTGTCTCTGTGTGGCGACCTGTCCAGGGTGGACCCCGCCTTTCGCCCGATGTCAGCTGGGATTGGCTCCAGCAGGATAAGCGGTTGACGATGGACGGATGGACTTTAAGACGCTGACTGGTTCAGAAAAGAGACTTTTTTCAAGACAAGATTGAAACTGATTGTAAAAGATTCATTTTGAACCTCTTTATTTTATATGGAAAATATTACATTCAAAAGTGGAAATGGTCAAAGAAGAAACCACAATTACCACATTTTAAGATAGAAATCACCATATTTAAACTTTATTTGGCCCAATGACTAGTAAAGCAATTAAACAGTTAAAATATGTAAAGATTTTAATGATTTTCTTAAAAGCCTTAGTTGCATTTTACCTCTTTGTTTAGCAACAAGTGTCCTGTTCTGTTATTCTGTTGTTTTATGTACTTTTGATTTGGCTAAAAATAAAGAGATGAATTCAAGATTCAATGAAGAAGAAAAAAAAGTGTAACCTCACCATCTTCAGCACTGTTTTATTCACACATTTTTAGCAAAGATTTTGGTCCCCTTTAGATGTTTTGTTTTCTAAAGAACTGCTCTTTTTTTTTTTTTTCTAGCCTGTTGCACTTTGAGAGCTTTACAAAAGCTGCTTTACTTTTAGCAACTAAATCCACAGTTTCAGTGGTTTCCTCCTGTTCCTCACTTATTTTCAACTTGTTGTGGACTAATCAATAACAGTACTGTGATTGGTGGTTCACTGCGCATGCAGAGCCTGCTGGTCACTAACAAACAAACTCTGATTCTCCAAGAACCCTCAAATCAGAGTAAATGATGTTCCATCAGACTTCTCTTGTAGATCAGTCATGGAAAATGAGAACTGTGTGAACTTTCCTTTTGTATCAAGCAGCAAAAAAGTTGAGTTGGTTGTGTTAATTTCACTTGCTTAATGTTGCACGTCCTGCAATGTGACTACTGCGCATGTTCACGCTGTGACGACGACGCTGAAACGACATACTGAGCAGCCGTACTGCAGACTCACTTGTTGGTTTTGGTTTTCAGAGGCTTCCTCATGAACAAACCTCCTCCTCATGCTGCAGCTCTGCAGCTGAAAACTGACTTCTTTCATTAACTTTATAAAACAGCCTGCTGCTGATGGAGAAACTCGACACAGACAGGAAGAGACGGGGCCGGCCGGCGTGTCTGCAGCAGAGGTGAGAAAACCAGAACTGAAGGGAACAAAAATGACTTTTTAATTAAAGGCTGCAGCTCTATTTAGTAGCTGTTTAGTGTGAAACTGTCTATTGTGTAAAGATCTCGAGCTGCATAACTTCTGTCTGCTGATGAAGATCAAGTGATCAAAAGCTGGAGCAGCTACTGAATGGACCCTGATGGGAGATTATGTTGTTGACATATTTTCTGGTTTGTGTTGCTGCTGCCTGTCTCATAAAAAAAAAGCCACAAACATTTTCAGTCAAATGAAGCTTTTCTGGTTCAATCAAACCTAAAAACATTTATTAACATTTAGAAAAACTCATCTATGTTCACTCTGTACAGCAACAACAGCCACAGCAGAAACTCTCCTCCCAACCTGTGGAGACACAAGTTAATAAACGTTAATAAATTGAAAGACGTCTTCACAGCAAACTCACTCAAAACCAGTTGTTCAAAGACAAAACCACAACTGTCTGCTGCTGCAGGAGTTGCTTCATATACAAGATGTGTATGAAGTGTTGTTGGGCTGAAGCTGAGGAAGGTTTGACTCACAGGAAGTTCTGCAAAGCAGGTTTAGCAAATGAGAGAACTGAAAGAAAACTAAAAAAATCCACGAGTCAACAAGGAAACTAAGTGTAGCTGAAGGACTCCTGCCCCTCCTGCTGCAGGTCAGATTAGTTTCATCACTCAGTAAACTGGACTTTATGCAGAGACCAGGTCCTGATGTTCCACTTCACTGTTTCATAACTCCTCATGTTCAGGAGGTGAGAGGTCACGTCTCCTTCTCTGACCTTCAGCCTCACAGACTCAGCACACATTAACTTAACACTTAATATCTGACCTGCTGTCCTGTTGGCCTTTTATACCTCGTATGGTTGTTGATGTTAAAGTTAAACAGAATATTAATCACAATGTGACTTTGTGGGATTTAGAAGTTATATATTTATTCCTGAGCTTGGTACACTTCCGTTAATTAACCCTAACTAGCTAATTAACTAACCTAAGCATGCTAATTAGCAGGTTTGTTCTTTACAGGAAGTTTAAACAACTTAAATCAGCAACTATTTAAAATATATAAATCCCAAAGTCTCTGTCTACTGATGAAGATCAAGTGATCAAAAGCTCCGGAGCAGCTACTGAATGGACCCTGATGGGAGATTATGTTCAATTCAATTCAATAGATCTTACTCTGTGATGTTATTTATTCCCACCAAGAGCAGCACTAGGCGACAGAGGCAAGGAAAAACTTCCTTTTAAGAGGCAGAAACCTCGAGCAGAACTATGGCTCAGGGTGGGCGGCCATCTGCCTCCACCGGTTTGGGGTGAAGGAGAGAGAGTAAATGTAAATGCTCCGTACTTGTATAGCACTTAGTACTTGTATTTCTAGTCTTTTTGACTACTCAAAGCCAGTCACACACATTCATACACTGAGCCTAAGTGCTCAAACAGAAACTAACATTCACACTCACTCATACACTGGCGGAATAGCCACCAGGGGCAAATTGGGGTTCAGTATCTTGCCCAAGGACACTTCGACACGCAATCAGGGGAGCCAGGGATTGACCCGCCGATTAACGGCCAACCCGCTCTACCTCCTGAGCCACAGCCGCCCCGAGAGAGAGGGAGAGAGAGATGGATGGAAGGAGAGAGGGGGGAGGGAGGCAGCCTACACAATATACACACAGAGGTACAGACAGTAAAGGTGATGTTGCTATAGACTGAATGAAAAATGGTACAGATATTTATAGTAGTGTTAATGATAACAATTGTAATTTTAATGATTATAATAACAATAGGACTAGTAACAATAGTCGTTGCAGCAGAGGGTGTCGAGCAGGAACACGGGGGCAGCAGGTGACCTGCAACCACAGATCCAGACTCCACAGCTCCAGAGCCAGAAACACCTGCAGGAAGTGATAGGAGGAGAGAAGAGAGGGACGAGAAAGCACAAGATTACTGGAAAGGGGAGAAGTTGTGTTAGTAACATGCAATAATGGGATGAGGTTGCATACAGAGGGAGAGAAAGTAGAGGAGAGAGGAGCTCAGTGCATCATGGGAAATCCCCCGGCAGTCTAGGCCAATAGCAGCATAACTAAGGGATGGTTCAGGACTCACCTGAGCCAGCCCTAACTATAAGCTTTATCAAAGAGGAAAGTCTTAAGCCTACTCTTAAATGTGGAGATGGTGTCTGCCTCCTGAACCCAAACTGGAACCTGGTTCCACAGGAGAGGAGCTTGATAGCTGAACGCTCTGGCTCCTAGTCTACTTTTGGAGACTCTAGGAACCACAAGTAACCCTGCATTCTGGGAGCGCAGTGCTCTGGTGGGGTAGTAAGGTACTATGAGCTCTTTAAGATAAGATGGTGCCTGACCATTAAGAGCTTTGTAGGTAAGAAGAATGATTTTAAATTCTATTCTGGATTTTACTGGAAGCCAATGCAGAGAAGCTAAAACAGGAGAAATATGATCTATTTTCCTGGTTCCTGTCAGAATACGTGCTGCAGCATTCTGGATCAGCTGAAGAGTCTTAATGGACTTTTTCGAGCAGCCTGATAATAAGGAATTGCAGTAATCCAGCCTAGAAGTAACAAATGCATGGACTAGTTTTTCTGCATCATTTTTAGACAGGATGTTCCTGATTTTCGCAATATTACGTAGGTGAAAAAAGGCGGTCCTTGAAATTTGCTTAATGTGAGACTTAAACGACATGTCCTGATCAAAGATAACTCCAAGATTCCTCACAGTGGTGCTGGAGGCCAGGGCGATGCCATCAAGGGTTGGCAGAGGTTTTAATATCCTGAAGGCACATTTCAAGTTTAGCTAACTGATGAGTTTCATCTGGCTTGATTGATAGATATAACTGAGTAT